AGTATTTGCTTCGTTATCTGCTTTCTGTACTATTCTTACAACCCCCTTACCTTTTACTTTTAATGGTCCTTAGAAGTACAAATTCGAACCGAGTACAGTAGAGAAAAATGCATTTTAAATATGATGCAATAGGCATAGCCAATACTTAAATTTCATTTTCGAACCCGGTTCTCTGATCCTATCCTCAGGCTAAAGTGGAAATGTTGGAAATGAAGAAACCATAAATCGACAATACATATACTTATTTATATCTTCTCCTAAAACACGAATTTCTTGACACTTTAGGTTACATGTTTTAGGTCTCAGTAACGATCCAGTTGGTTCAGAATAACTGAATTTATTACACACAAAATTACGTGTAAAAAAAGGTTTACTGTCTTACGTTTCATTACAGAATTCGCGTTCTCATGAATTTGTTTATTATTTAATGTAACAGACGCAATATGGGAGTTAAACTTCTCTTGGGGAATAGTAATCCAAGTCTTGTAGATTTCCCGCCTCTAAGTTACAGCTACAGAATGTCCGTTGCCTTGCTTTAGTGATCGTCTTACCTTATCCGTTAATAAGCTCGTACTTTCCTTGATCCTTGATAGTGCAGAAGAAGTTTGTCCAGGCACACAGAATGGACACTCGCTCTGTCCTTTTCGTACTGCACTTTTTCCGCATAACACATTTGAAAAGGTGAAGTTCTGTGGGAAGAATTCCGTTTGGGTCGTAACACTCACACACAGTTTACGTCATATCCTCGGTACACTACTCAAGTCAACCACATTCATTACTTATTACTTACTAGCTCTTGTAACTGTGCCCCCATATTCTTTCTACCCCCATTTTATAAAACGCACAGTTTTTAATATCTTTCGTGAATTAGCATCGCACCATTTTCAGTTTTCTTTGTCGTAATGTTCACTTATAATCGTTTGTTACTTACTACTGAAAAATTAGAGATAAAAATTGTGAACGAACAAAAATTAGCTACAAGTATATATCCTCCAGCAATGTCACTTACTGTCAAAAAATGGTACAGCTCTAATAAGCAAAATGAACTGTTAATCATACTCCTCAAACAAGAAAATCTACACTTTTTAATAGTCAGCTAGTTTTTAACAATTAACACAGTTCTCCTCATGAAGATTTCGCCCAGGTGAACCTGCACTTCACAAAGCTTCGCGAGATGACGCAGGATTCCAGCACGAAAAGCTAACCTTCAGTTCCCATGCCTGACCCGAGTTAGCATTGCCCTGCTGACGGAGACAATAAGCACCTCTGAAACGTCGGTCAATTTTTACGAGACTATATGGCGCGATATTCCGAGAAGACAGTAATCTTCAGCGCCATCTTTTATTTACTCAAGAGCTCGCCCGAGCGACGAGACTCACGAACGAAGTAACTCCTTCGAACGGAGGAAACCGAACACTTGCTCACCTGGGCAAGGAATTAGCGAACTTAATGACACCTTTGAACAACTTTTTAAGCGAGCTAGCTTCCGACAATGGACTGGCCGGTCTCGTCACCACGCACACCACATTATACTCACAACCACGGCTAACCAATTACTAATTGTACTTTGGGGTCACTGCCGGTTACTGTTTTCATTCTTAGATTTTAATTTGACTAGATCAGTTAATTGCTGTTTGGCTACGTCATTGAATGCGAATTACGTGTTTCCAGAATCTAAACTAAAATATTTCGGCTCAGTATAAAGGTAAGAAAGAATTATAATGGAAATTACAGAAAAAAAGAGTTATAGGTGGTGAATATTTTAAGAGAAACATGATCCGAGTTTAGCAACAAGTTGTGTAAAATATCATTTTTCCAGTTTCCGGTAGATGACGTCATACTGTGGTCTGCGATCGTGATATGCATGTGTTTCATGGCAACATGAGAGGTTATGTTCCAATTCCCTGCAAGGTATGACACAGCCAAAATTTTCAAAAGAACACTTAATTAAAAGTATGTTTTGTAATAAAAGGGTTAACATAGGCTTCAACTAATGAATATCATTGTCAAATGATAAACTCTCTTGCTTCATATTTGCCAGTTCCTATGTTCAAATCTAAGTCCAGAGACCAGTTTCCTCAGGGTTTTCATGTTTTTCCAATCTCCCTGCTTTCTTCCACAACCTAATTAATTATTTATTTATCACCCTACCACTTCACACCAGACAAACATAACCTGAGCTGACAGTATTGTTAAACCACAAATGCATACAAAAAGAAATATTAATTATTGCCCAGATGTAAATATTAGGTGCTAATGGACCTGTATAAAAAACTACAATGTTGTATTAACATTAAACCTACATCTTACAAATTAAGGGGAGGAAATACTACTACTCTTGTACCCATTACAGTGAAGGTATACAGACATATGGCTTTGCGTAATCTTCATATATAACCAATGCCCTAATGAAAATTATGAATATTTAATTTTATGTTTGAGTCACTTTCAATCAGTAAATAAAGTAATATCCTGAGGATTTTATTAATTCAATTTGCTGCTAAAGTTTTAAATCATTCACTTTTAATCCTTAGCAAATTTTCAGCAATAGAGCTACTACCTTTCAAGCAGATAAATTCCTTGAAATTTTAATATTAGCCACACAAAATTAAAGATAAAATTGCAAATAACTGGTCTTATAAAGAGTGTGACAGGAATAAAAACGTTTATGTTCATACTTTTAAACTGAGAAATGAATCATACATACAGTAATTAAAATCACCGTCACTGTGACACAAACACAGATTTTAAACACAATTTCTGAAAAAATAAATTACACAAGGAAAATAAATAAATACATACATAAATTAATATATTGTCACCATCAACAGCATGGACAATGCTTTATTTGTCTGTTAAAACATTAACACAGTCTTTATGTACACACGACACAAATATTTTATTGGTACCAACATAAAATGATCAATAAATAATTTCAATATTACATTAATTATATTATTAATCACAAGGTTCAGCAATAGACTTATGAAAATATAAAACTTTTTATATGTACCATAGTTACACTTTCATTTTCCAGCACTCAACCCTGAAACTACCATCGGAACTCTTCATGGTACTCAAGTTAACGAAAGGTAGTTGGTGTTGTAAATTACTCTCAGATGACGGCCACTTATGAGAATGTTTTATTAATGTGTGCTGATATCCAACTACGAGCACAAACAACGTGGAATAATTTTCAAGTGCGAATGGTGTCGGTCACAAGGCCCCAAATTCCTTAGTTACAAACGACGTGGTGTTCCTCTAGCAGCAAAGTTTGGTTAATTATTAATTTTTACAAGAATAAAAACAGTTATATCCTGAAGCATCATGTAATACAATATAATATCAGATAATGGGCAATATCCAACAAACTGCGTCAGCATGAACCGACATGTCTTTGGCACTTTTTTAATTACGTCTCAAAATCTATTTATGATTCATTATTGTACGCAGCCTCAGTTTAAATTATAACATACATTTTGATAAATTTACTTAATTTAAATTAATACACTGTGCTGTTATTATGTTTTGTTTGAAAACTCAGGGAAGGGGCAAAAATTTTAAAAAAAGAGATATTATTATCACAAATCATAACAATTTATCGTCTTTGTATATTTCAAGATTTCTTTTTTTCAAAAATTAATCAAAACTGACTTGAGAAACATAAATTCTTTCCTCCTTTTGCTCTTTTCTCATCGTTGTTTGGTGTATGTGTGAAAACTGATCACTCACAGATAAACACAAATTAAAGGCGTTTCAAAATAAAATGCTGAGGCGAATATAAAGACGTACGAGCGGCTTCGTAATTTGTATGATACACCAAATGTATCAATCTTCAAATCAGCCATTTACCAGATCAGAAGGAATTCTAACATGCATGCTGGAGATGAGAAATTGTGGTTCGAACCTGTAGGGAATAAACAGACTATTCAGAAGACCTAGGCATAGATGACTATATTAAAATGGACCTTAAGAGGCTGTGGATTGGACTGATATGGCACCAAACAAGATCCAGTGGCAGGCTCTTGAAACCGTAATAATGAACCTTCAGATTTTATACTTCAATTTCTTGACTAGCTGTCAAACTATCACTTTTTTTAAGGTCTGTACTCCACAATGTCAGTTAATTAGTTAATTGGTTAGTAAGTTATTGTCTTCTATCATTTCGGGGGAATGGTGCTGGTTATAACGACAGAGTTGTGTGGGTCAGACTAAGACAGGTACCCTGGTCCTCCAGGTTGGGGGTTGGTCGCAAGGCTAACAACCTCGCACCGTAAAAAGGAAGATGTTTCGAAACCTCAACCAAAGCCTCGGACAGACGGACCTAACAGAGGACCGAATGGAAGAGGAGAATTGAGGAGGCCATGGACCGAATACGAACCGGAGAGCCATAGAAAAAGAAGAAGAAGCTGTGTGGGTTATTTAATCATAAAATTATAGAAAAGCATGACCATCCACCATCATTTATCAGAGCTGAGGATGGAAAATGTACACAAACAAGTCTGCAATGGAGTCAAGTCTTAAACCTTTGATACAAATCGTCAGTGCTGTTCTACTTCACACCGCCTGCTAAAATAAAAGCGCTTCTTTGTATGGAAACATGAATGATCACTTCACTCTCAAATGAGGAAATTTAGCAAGAGAATTTGAATATTTTGCCTTTTTAAGTCTCTGATCCTTCCAACTTGACTACATTCAAGAAACATAGGCATCTTAACAACTGTGTAATCACCTGAAGCACATCGTTGAACCTCAGTAGGTTCCAAATAAAACAGGTGACAGGACCACTAACGGGACACCGTCACTTAAAGGGACAACTCTTTAAATTGATGAAGGTAAAAAAGTAAAGCTGGCCCACTATACGCCATGTAGGCGCTTGGGGGGAGTGGAGGTATAGCTCCTACTCATTCTTAACCTTGGCACTAGATGGGGGTGAGTGGTCAACATTACGCACTGGCCATGCTTTACCCTCGGGAAATGACCTCAGTACCCATTCGATAGGAGGCTGGGTGGGCCCCAGAGCTGGTCTGGACGCAGAGGCCAGAGGAAAAATCCTCTGTCCCCTTCGGGGATCGACCCCCGGTCGTCCAGTCCATAGCCAGTCACTATACTGACTGAGCTACGCAGGCTCACAAATTGATGAAGGTAAGTAGCCACAATTGTAGTAGGTATTACGACGAAATAGAAGCAGCCTGACATGTTCTTTGTGACTGTGAGGTATTGTCCAATCTTCAATATTGCTTATAAAATCAGCAAACAAACACTATGAAAGACACTTGAGGTTGAAATGCGTTTGGCGCTAGTGTCTCTCATAGTGTTTGTTTGCTTATTTTATATTCTAATACACTACACGGTATTCAAAGTTTTAAGATTCAGTTTTGCCGCTTCGGCAGTGTGCTTCGTTGCTAGCATGGAACTACTAGTGGATTAGAAGTACAGGGATGTACAAAAGATCTGTTAATGATTGCAGTGCAAGGGTCAACGTGGCACCCATCCAATTACTTACGTAAGTGTACATTTCAGCACTCTTATTTATTTCCTTGAACAATATATTTCCCGGTAAAATGACCCTGACAAAACAGAAAGTCATCATGTTCTGAAATTCTTAATGGATTCTAAAGTTGAATTTTTAAAAAATTTATGCTCTAGGCTTGAACATTATATTTTATAGAGTTAAATGAACCAAAATAAAATCTGCCTGGCAGTATTAACTGGAATTTGGTCATTTGGAAGTAGAGCCATGTGAATGGCAGATGGACTTCTGCATTTTATAAACTTTGTGTGAGGAATGCATAATATGAAACTCACTTTTCTCTAAATGTGACAGCTCCCATCTCTGTAGGACTTTAGAATCCCATCACAGCTCTAAAATATCACGAGTGTGCACGAGTTCCAACGTAATTACAGAGGTAAACCTGAAGTATTCATTTGGTCCTCCATTGCACAGACTGACACACATGCCCAACAAAAAGTTTACGTGTGGAATTTAACTTTCAACTTCACCTTCACATTAAATGAAACACTCTCATAAATACGCCATTTCTAATCAAGAGTAAATGCATCTTAATCTGTTTCGTAAGAAATGACATCAGCTTCATGATTTACTACAATCAAAATGATCAACAGCTGTTATATGGAATTTGCAACAATACACAGAGATGTTATTCCATTATAAAATGCACGTTTATCGCAAAGCACGTGGCTGCTTACATTCAGAAATGAATTATTCACGTGTAACAAATACGTTACATCATAGTCTGTATCGGTACAAAGCCATACATGTGGCTGTCTTAAGATCGAAAATGTATACCGACGTGGTTATCCTCATGTGACGTCCATCATCCTCAAAGAACGTGTACAGTTCATTATCCATCCGAACGGAACATCTAAGTCAGGAATACAGGTGAGTCCAAGTTATCAGCGCTGAGCAGTTAAATTAAAAATAAGTTACACAACCACAAGACTTACAGCACTTCACACATGCCACAGCAGGAGGTGATTGGTCGAGTCCTCTCTACCCGCAACCTCAGACACGCTCGAGGTGCGGAAGTCTTCGTAACCGTCGCCACCCGAGATGACCAGCAGTTTAACGCTGGTATTACTTGAGCTCTGCAGTTCAGGCTTGCTCTTCATAGAGTGTCGATGGTGAGCACTTGACCGTACCATCAAACTGTCGCCACTCTGCGCAGGAACTGTCTCCACAAATGTTAGGAATCGAACATGACCCGTGTGTCCATGAGGAACCCCTAGAACACAAATTATTACACCGGTGAATCAGTGAATATCTATCACTAGTGAGTAAAAATATGCCGGCAGAAATCATAAATCAATGTGATTATGCAATTTTGTGCGTACATTTGTTACTATTAATTCCCACTAACCTGAACACCGTCGCATTAGAAACAAATATTCACAGTGTTTCCACTAAATTGCACCAGTACTGTCCTCCCTAAAAAGTTAAAGTGCTATCATGTTAGAAATAAACATTTGCAACTGACGCACCCCCTACCGCCAACAGCAAAATACCGATACATTTCATGAGAATCCAGAGATTAGTTCAGACGTTATTATGAGTGACGGACAACCACAAACAGGGACAAGACACTAACCTCTATTTTTTTTTAATAAATACAGGAAGCCATGAAATAAGATACCTAAACCTAAAGCAAAGAAACATGGTCCAGAGTTCTACTGATATACGTCACACGAAGGACATGGGATAGAATTTTGAGATTACATATTTTAAATTATTAACTGGCTCCTTTACGGGCCAACCAGAAAGTGGAATAGAAGTACACGGCCAAGCCAGAGTAAGATAATCAGGAAAACAAAAGAGAGTTGACAGACAGCAAATTGGTCAATCATAAATATAAAAGGGAGGGCGGACCAGGTGATAAAAGGGAAGATGAAGAGTAGAGTGGCCATAGTAAGAATAAAGAACAACAGTGGACAGAGGACGGATTTAGGAAAGTGTGCATCATGTCTTTGGCAAGATCTTCCATGAATTACTCCAGGGAGAAGCCGTCTTCCAAGTTCATGTTACTGCGATGGAGCTCGATCCCTATCACTTTCCTGATGATCCAGTCTGTGCATCTGGATTTTTTGGTCACAATAATGGTGTTCTACAGCTGGTCAATTCCCCATTAGCCTGTCAGTCTTGACTCCATATAAATTACCACTTCCCAGCAATGCCACTTCGGTCCCAAAGATGATGACGGTATGTTTCTCTACCACCGTTCCCTGCTTAATTAGAAATATGTACATTACCTGTGGCATTGGGTACATTGGCCAGCTTTGTTGTGGCAGGAGTAATGTGTGGCAGTGGCATAGTCAGGATAACACCTGCACTCGTGCCAATCCACAGCAGATCCTTGCAGGCAAGGAGAGACGTCACACGAAGACACGCTGCCTTGTGCTGCCGGATTATGTCATCACAACCTGAACATGTAAAGAAAATTAGATTATCTCTTTATGGGGCTTTGGCAACAACGGATAGTAGGAACATCCAAAGTGCGTTAGACCAACAAAAATAAATAAAATTAGGTATGGAGGTTGAAACAGTTAATCCTGTGCTCACAGGATACAGTTTCTAATAATACGTATATTTAATGAAAATCGGAAATTCTCATATGTGAGGAGTAATTTCTGAGGTAATTTGAGTTTCACAGTTATAGTGGACCAAAATGCAGTATTATGTAACTTCCAGAGCAGAGCAATCATATCAAATTTCATGAGAAGTTATTAAGTTCTGTTCGCGATTGTAATCTTGAGACTTGCAAGGAATGCAGGAAGTCCGAAGCGTTAAAGGCTGACGCTATCTTTCCTCCTTCACCCCACTTCCTCACCCCGAAAGTCTCAAGATTACAGTTACGAACTATACTTCGTAGGTGAAACTCAGAGAGATAAACAGATATATTGCTGCCATTCTTTCACTTTACGTACTTTTTATGAATAATGTGAAATTATTGCCAGATTTTAGTTGTGTTACGGTATCAAAGATTTAAAGCAGATTTTTTAACTGGGGACATCACGATTGCTCCAACATATGGCTCTGTACACCAAGGGCAAATATATCAACAGGATTCTACGCAAGGAGTAGACAGGGCTTAGTGAAACCACCTTTATACAAATCAGAAAATTGTGTTGCCAAACAAAATGCTTTTATCATCCTAAAGGGCATTAGAAACTCACCTTTGTAGGAAAATCTCATGTACTTACTGGCTAACATTTTCGTAACTGCGGGTGCTACATTCACATCACACAACGGCTCATATGACATTGCATGGAACAGCCTGACAACTGCAGAGTTCTGCAGGGAGATCCACACACCGAGACCCGACAGCGCGATGCACGTCACGGCTCGACTGCTGTCCGAGTTCACTTGGAATGAATGCTGCAAAATCACATCAGTTTAACAGTCTTAACTTTTACCAATAAAACTAAATTAAACCTACCTCCGTGCATTCTCTAAAAATGTGAATAACCACTTTTTTAAACTGAGAAATAATGTTCTTCAAATGTTCCACTTAAGACTCCAATTTAAAATTTTCTGTTACCAACCAAATGGATTAAGGTTTTTGGGGAGACCGTACAAATGCTGGCATTAGACCTTAGCAGGCCAACAAACTTTAAAGTGAAAAGGCTGAAAATTGCCACTTTCCTTTACAGTCAAAATGATCATGAAAAAGTATTTTCATCACCATACCATACATAAATCTTTATTATATTCAATGGGTCCTTAAAATAATACATCACGAGGTGAAAGGCAACTCTTTAATATTGAAGAAAATTTCAAATGTCACATCTGCAATGACTACATTTCGACAAGCGTTAAGGAACACTGCAAATAGAAGGTAACATTTTCCACCCAAATAAACATACAAGTTAATTTCAGTACAGTTTATTTTCAGACATTCTTAGTTTTTAGAATTATAGGTTTTCATATCATATTGCTACTTTTGTTCTTCGCTCAGGTTTTTCTATGGAACAATTTTTCTGACATTATATTCATAATAATATATAATTCAGAATAACAATTACCTATAATAACTATACTTTCAAAATTTAAATGCTAATTGGAAAATATATAATGAAATGAGATAAGAATAACAATCCATTACAACGTTATAATTTAAATTAGTCTGGTGTTTCACATAGGTGTATCAAGTATAGAAGGTGCTTGATTTTTTTTATGAATCCTTCAAAGTGTAATCAGTCTTACCTCCACCTCCAGTGAAGCGGTGTTGAGTATCTTTATAGCATTATGGCAGCCGCACCACAGTTTGCCTGCTATGGGTAGCATTCGCGTGACTGGAGTCGCTGCAGTTCCCACAGACACTGTAAAGGGGTCTGTTGTATTCCAGCCACCATCTGCAATAAGGGCATTCATGTAATCAATTTGTACTCACCTAAGAATCTTGGTCACCTCACAGAATAAAGAACTGAGGATAGAGATAAATTTAAGGATCTCTAAAAAATTATATAAAGAAGAGTTCAAACATATTCATGATATGGGAAATTAAATGGGAGCCAATTTTTATTTAGAAAATTTCCTCTCAATTAGATGACTTTACTACTTAACACCTAATGTTTTCCTTTTAGTTTAATATCAAAAATTCGCTAAATCGTTGATCTTAATGCTCATTACCAATGAAGACTCTAGTGACTTACGGCATTTCTCATACAATACAAACGCATGCGGTGCGATACTTTTTAGTATTACTTACTGTGGTCCCGCACATACACAGTGATGTCACCATTTGCTAAGGAGACAAACACCCTGTTGTCCAGATAACTGAAATTGGCAAAAACAGCCTGAATTATAATTATATCATAAAAAAAAATCACATCAAATGTAACATGAATTCAAATGTATTTGCTGGCCGTCTGTGAACTGAATGAACTTACATGATACTGTGAACAGATGACCCATGCTGTATCTTGACTTTGTTCTTTTTTATGCGAATATTGTCACTGCAATTATATACATGAATACAACCATCCTCCGTTCCAAGCCACATTGTAGGCTGCAAACTGTCCGTGTCTTCAGTCACAATGGATGTCTCGCAAACCAGCGAGTCTGATGCGCTTCGTATCCGCTTTGGGTCCTCTTCAACACTGATGCTAATTCCAGGTCCAGGCATCCCTTCTTCACCTTCATCCTCATCTTCACTGGAGGAACTACTGGAAATGCAATGCAAAATCAACAGTACATATTTTTATAATTTTAATATTGGTATTTTGCACAGTAGATGACAACGCAGAATCTACGGGGTTTTGAAGACCATCTGTGGTAATCAACACGAGTAACGTTTGGACCCTTTCAACTGTCTAGCATTTTGGGATAAGATTCTTATCTCCCCATCTATCCACCTGAAGATGGAAACACATCTAGATTCTGATATGTTTTGTTTGAAAGAACAGTGTCCTAAACATCATTTACATTCATTAGATGACAACAGCTTTTTAAATAGATACATTTAGCTTTCACCCACAAGTAAAACTTAAAAATTAACATGGATTAATATTGGATATCATATTACCATCATAAATCCGTGTAAAATAGAAATATGTGTACAATATTTAACTGAGTGATACGCTGTTGGTTAAAATTAAGTCACGATGTAATTATTATGTACCTGTCAAGCTGAACTGTATTTCCACCACTCTCATCTGTGTCTTCTACAGAAATACTGATTCCAGCCTTACTGTTGGTGAATGGCTGTCCTATGCTGCAGCTCGAACTTAGTCTGCAAGCAAGTTCATGCTTTTAATAACACAGTTAAACCGCATTAATATCAACTTAAAAAATACTTAGTCTGCAAGCAAGTTCATGCTTTTAATAACATAGTTAAACCTCATTAATATCAACTTAAAAAAGCCTGTATTTTCAGACTTCACATCAATGGCAGCAGCAACAACAAATATAACAGCAATAATAGTAATACTATTAACAAACACCATCATCATTGTAAGATTTAAGGTTTTCACAGCGGTGAGTATGAAGATTCCTGTCTTCTGGGTCGTTGCGCTGTGTAGTCTGGTAGATGTTTACCGTTTCATTGCGACATCGCCCTGATGACGGAGGCAGTATGACCTCTGAAACGTTGGTTAACATCGACCAGACTACACAGCGCAACGACCCAGAAGACAGAAATCTTCACCATCATCATTCTTCCCAGTTGGGACTGTTTCAGGTATTACAAACCTCTGAGATATTGAATGCAAAACTGCACTTTCATCTTGCCAAACCTTAATGCCCATGAATTTGAAATCCATACCACAAAAATGTGCAGGTATCAAAAGGAGATCAAATAGAAGATAAAATGAACACTTTAATGCTTTTTACTGTACAAGATACCATTATATCCTACTTGGGATTGAAAGTGGTAAGCTGCTTCTTGGTCAATGTTTTATATTTACTTCTGGGATCTCATGAAGATTTAGTCTTCCTATGTATCTTTTTAGTTTCATCTACTTAAATGTATGAAAACTGTTATTTGTGAAATTTACAGCTTGATCATTGTTTTTTTATTATTATTATTATTATTATTTATTTCATAGTCAG